TGTTTTTGTGGTTGTGGGTGTGTGTGTGTGTGGGTGTGTGGTTGCGCGCGCTCTCGTGCCTGCCTGTGTGTGTGTGTACAAGTGTGTGTGTCACATTTTTTTTGTCCATCTGTTGATAGACAGATAGCCATATCAAATTGTGAGCATCACTACTCTTGCACATTAGATCATTATTAAGTAAAATGCTCCTCAACACAGCACTAAGACACCTAAAATATCTGATAACCAAAGTGGCTGCTAGTGACTGACATGGAATCGAGCAGTGCAGACAGACCAGACAATGGGCTGATCCATATCCTAGGAGGCTTGGGCAATCATGTCTGAGCTCTCACCAGGCTACTAAGAGTGGCACTTATATTATAGGTTACCAAAGAGTTCCATTTTCCTACCTAATATTTTCAGAGGGACTCTGGGATAACCCAAACAAGAAAGCAGAACTTTAGATAACAGGGCTATAATTGCAAAAACCAGAAAGAGTACATTTCCAAGCTAATTTTTGAAAAATAAGCACAGGGGCTGGAGAGATGACTCAGCAGTTAAGAATACTAATTGCTCTTCCAGAGGACCAGGGCTCAATTCCCAGCACCCACATGGCAGCTTACAATTGTCTGTAACTTCAAGATCCGACACCTTCACACAGACATGCATGCAGGCAAAACACCAATGCACATAAAATAAGAATAAATAAATTATAAAAAAAAGAAAAAGAAGCACAGAATTTTAAAACAAGTTTGAATTTGGTATGTTGAAAAGAGCATGCTCAAAGATGGGCCTTAGGAAGAACGGCCAGGGAATGCTGTTTAAGGACTACAAGCTGAATGCCACTTGCTTAAGAACAGGGAAAGACAGCCAGAAGATTGTGGAAACTTCTCCGTACACCAGTGGCAGGAAAGGCTGGAAATCCAGGTGTAGTAACAAAGGCAGTGCCAGCATCATCTAAAGGCAGGGGTGGAATGGGGTGAGTGACAGAGAATGCTGGCTTGGAGGAAGACACGGTGACCCTACATACAACGTGGGCACTTAAGAGGAGTCAGAATGGAGAGAAGAGAGCTGGATCCTCCATGCCAAGGAAAGCAAGGCCTACAGGGCTCACACTGCAGGAGGGAGGCAGGGACCCATGATGGAATTTTATTGACAATCCAGTCCTGGAAGCCCCCTTACACAGGGACCCTGGAACAAATGCTTCTGATTAAAGACAGAAAATAAAGAAATCCAGACAAAGAGAAAACTAGAAGAGACAGGTCAATATAAAACAAACAAACAAACAAAAACAAACAAACAAAGGCAGCTGGGCAGTGGTAGTACATGTCTTTAATCTTAGCACTTGGGAGGCAGAGGCAGGTGAATGTCTGCAGGTTTGAGGCCAGCCTGGTCTACAGAAGAGTTCCAGGACAGTCAGGGCTACATAGAGAAACCCTGACTTGAAAAACCAAAGAAAACAAAATAAAGGCAACTGAAATGCTAAGATAAAACAGACAGGAAGCAGTATTGGAGTATTAGTCAAACAACATGTGCAGAACAAAACTAATTCTTAGAAATTAAAACCTAATGGGAATAAAAGAAAAACTCAAGAAATATAAACCAGAATGAAAACAAAAAGACAGAGCAAAATAAAGAGAAAACACAAGACAGCCAATAAAGTACAACAAAAAAATCAGGAGCTCCAAATGGGCCATATTTTTTAAAGTGATGTGAAAAATCTGCCAAGGAAATAATATAAACAAACAAACAAAAAGCCCATTATGAAGGACAAACTCAGTGAGGGCATTTCGAAGTACATACAAACCAACAACAACAACAAAAACTATTTGTCCACATCAAAGCTGATCTCTACCAGGAGACAGATCTCACTCATGACCTGAGAATTGCGGACATGACTGACCAGTACACAGGAATCACACATATTAACAGAACAAGACCCCATCTTGTGTAGTCCATCACAACATGGCCACTCGCCTCCCTACTCTCTGTGGACCAACAGGATCCAGGTGGTGACAGGCAGCAGCTCTCTGGGCTGTGTCCTATACAGTCCACACAGTAGGTGCACAGCCTTTTCTCTGGGTGCTGGAAATGTCCTAACCATGAGCTTGCTGAGAAGACACTCTGCCTTCTCAGGAGAAGCAGAACAGACCCTGGGGTTTGCCCACCTGTCAGCCACATCTAGATCTGACTCCATCTTCTCCAGGCCCCTCATAACGCTGTCTAGCTGCTCTCCCTGGTGATGAAGGACCTTTGATGTGTCTTCCATTCGTCTCTGGGAACTAGCCATCAGTCCCACCAGCTCCTGCCCCCTGGTCATGGGGGAGGTTGTGCTGGCAGCAGTGCCTGGCTGGGACAGTAGCAGCTCCCTCCAGAAGTGCTCGATGATGTTGAAGACCACATTGCGACTGGGCCGCCAAGAGCTGAACCAGTGCTTGGCCTGGCCCTTCTCCAGGACTGTGATGGCACAGAAGATAAAGAGAGAAGACTCTTTCCTGATCTCAGTGATGCTGGAGAGAGGCAGGCCCACAAGGACCTCTTCAGTTCTGTCTGCACTGAACTTCAGTGAATGAGGTGTCAAGGTCAGTTTCCCAGGAACCCATTGCTTCTCAAGGTTCAGGTAGTAGGAACAAGGCCAGGAGTGGACATGCACATCACTGCTCATCTGTCCCTAGGTAGCTGGACTACACGGACGCTGTAGTATCTGTCTCTGAGGGAAAAGAAACAATTAGTGGGCGGGTGAGGCTGAAATACATCACTTTCCTTTAGATTACAGATAGTAGATGAGCCAGGAGAGAAGGGACAGCCTCGAGGGAGCTCTGGGCCTCTGCCCAGAAAGTAGGGGTAGAGAGGGCTAAGACCAGAACCAAGAACTGGGCTTGTCCCACCACTCCCTACATGAGACCCTCCACTCCTGTGCCTACTGGGCAAGCCATGAGGAGAGCAAGCACTACAGACAAGGCCCCAGACCCTTCCCATGCATATGACCTTGTGGCTTCGATGTCCTTATCACTGTGTATCTGTACAAGGTCCTACTAAGGGTCCTCTTTCATCTTTGTGTATGTATCCAACTGCTTTCCGAAAAGTCCTATAGATACATGTCCCCCTCCTGGACAGCCATCTCAGAGTTACCTAGAGAGCCACATGTACATGGATGCATTTATATATACATAGTGTTGTGTGGCCATAAGCAGTGACGTGTGCCAGTTTCATTTTCTCCTACCCTCCCCACCCCCACCCCTGTGCCCCAGTAATGAGGATCACACCCAGGTGCACCTAGGACAGTGGTCTACTGATGAGCCAGCCTTTATTTGTTTTTGTTTTTTTAAGTACAGTCTCCACATGTAGCTCAGACAAACTTTGAAGCTATGTAGCTCAGGGTGGCTTCAAGTTCCCTGTGCCCTACTTAGCCAGTACTAGAAGTACTTGCATGTGCCATCACACCTGGTACTGCTTAGAATTTCATATTTGTAATTATATTCATCAAAGCAGTCCTAAGTCATGGATGACAGATTTGAACTAACCCTTAGAGCATATGTTGCCCAATCCTCTTTGTATAGATACCAAATACTAGTCAAGAAAGGAGTTTCCACACTGCAGTCTGTGGTACTGACTGGGTAAGCAGAGCTTTCCCATTTCTCCCTGCCTGTGTTTCTCTGGGTCTGTGTCTCTGACTGTTTATCTCTCTGTCTCTCTGGGCCTCTCAAATAGTCTTCTTATGATATGACTTTATTTCTTAGTAAATATCTTAGCATGATCCCTCAAATACTGAACCCAGCTGCAGGCTACATGGACACTGCTACCAGTCACCAGGTCTGTCAGTCCCTGTTATGCAAATGCCAGCATGGGCAGTAAGCACACAAGAGGGAGCACTGACAAGGTCCCTAGCTCCTGTGATGTGGAGTCAATGGGAATTTCATTCATTCTCACTGAGCCACTCTCTGAACAGCCAACCTTGGAGGTGGGAGGAGACCCACAGAAGCAGAAATCTGTGTCAACAAGAGGCTCCTGAAAAGACTGCAGTCCTGTGATGGGATTCCCCCAAGGGTGAGGTCTCCCTGTATAGTCTGGGCTGGGCTGCTACTTTGCCTTCACAAGTTTCACATAGTGTCAGGTGGAAGTCTAAAGGTGTGAGGGCATCGATGGTGAAGGAGTTTGTAGACTAAGGAAACAGCAGTGGGTCCAGGAAACCTAAGAAGCTCTGGCCTGCCAATCACCTCTGCTCCTGCTGAACATGGCCACCAGCTCCCCTGATTAGAAAACCTGTGTCTATACAAACCACCAGGTCAAGAACTAAGGTGACAGCTAAATCCCTCAGGATGTCTACAGCAGAAGGCAGGAGGCAGAGGTGAATCTACCAGAGTGGCAGAGGAAGACTGCACCTGAGGAAAGTTGCTGAGATACTAAAAGAGTCAAGGAAATGATGAGAACGGTACACAGCAGAACAGGAAAGAGTTCAGGAACAGGTCATACTGCAGTCTACTCCAGCCCCTTCTCTGGGGGATCTGGGAAATACCAGGGACAGCAGCAGACCTGCAGACCTAACTGTAGGATTCTATACAGCACTCAAGGGCTTCAGATAAAGTATAGAGCTCACAGAGACTGCTCTGCTCCAACAAATGACCTCCTATTGACCCTCCCCAACCCTCAGAATACAAGCTGATACAAAAGCCATTGCTAGCCATTCTGTTTTAGAGGCCAGTAGCAACCAACAGAAGCACTGAGCTTGTGTGTGTCTCCCAGGGCAGAGTACAGACTTCTTGGTATCCTGTAGCTCCAACACCACAACCCTGGCCTTACCTGCATTCACCTGATAGGAATTAGAAGCCTCCCCCATATATTACATCTTCTCCATCACAGCTACTGGTACCAAAAGTGCTATCATTACCTGTGCTTGTACCCTGAAGCCTGGAAAGGATTCCATTTAGGGCCCACCATGCTAGAAATGTGGTTACTAGTGTCACAGGTCATCATCCTTGTTGCCCAGTGGGACCTGCGGAAGATCCCATCAATATCATAAGCTCCAAGACCATACCTACCAGTGCCACAACCTTGCCATCACCTACATTTGCCCCACAGGACCTAGTGACAGCACTCTCCACATTCTGTAACATCAGAATTTCAACTTTCACCATCATAAGCCCCAGAACCACAGGCACTCAAGTCTGCAGGGCTTAAGGAAACACGCATTTGGAATCCCACGTCCACTGTGCATGTGCACGTACCGTAAACCTCTGACCCACTGCTGTAGACTAGACTATGAAGGACTACATACACTGACAATAGTTAAAGAAACTACACAGGCCACACTTCCATCTCCACCTATAAGCAAAGCTCAAACACTGGCACCCTAAATCCTATCTAAATAAAAGTCGTTTTCCTATGAAAGCTACTCCACAAAACTGGAAAAGGCAACTATTATACAGATGTGAAGACAATAATGAAGAAATTTTTAAAATTGAGGACACATAACACCTCTCAAGGACACAGCAATTCTCTGGAAATAGAGCTCAATTCCAAGGAAATCCACAGGTTGACTGAAAAGATAATTGAAAATAAAATCCTAAGGAAAATCACTGGAATGCAATGAAATAAAGACAGACAGCAAAATGAGGAAGTTCATTGTATAAATAAGAAATGTGACAAAGTACTAACAAGCATATATATATATATATATATATAAAATCAACAAATATGAAATAAAATAGATAGCTTCCATAATAGACTAGGATAAGCAGAATTTCTGAACTGAACACAAATCTTTTGAAATAACCCTTCAGATAATTTTTTTAAAAATTGTGCGGCATTTGTGGTGCATGCCTTTAATGCCAGCACTCCGGAGGCAGAGGCAGGCGGATCTCTGTGAGTTCAAGGCCAGCCTGGGATCTGATACCCTCATCGAACCTCCACAGATACACATAGTGCACAAGTGCACATACTAGACAAAGGTAAAACACTCATACACATAAAATAAAATAAATCTTAAAAGAAATGGAGAGTAATTGAGGAAGACACCCAAAGTCAGCCCTTTACTATCTCTTTCTTCTCTAATACACACAGAGAGAGAGGGACAGAGAGACTGAGACAGACAAAAGAGAGAATGAACTAAAAATAATTATAAAATAGAAAAAAAAAGAACAAAGAAACCTTTGAGACAATATGGGAAACCATTAAGGAAACAAACAGTTATACTATGGGAATTCCAGAGAAAGGGAAAAGGCACTTAAAATGGATTTACTAAAGTAACAGCTAAAAACTGAAGATTTCTGTCTTAGTCATTATCTGATTGCTATGAAGACACAACATGACCAAGGCAACTCTTATAAAAGAAAGCATCTAATTGGGGGCTGGCTTATAGTTTGTGATGTTTAGTCCATTATCACGGTGGGGAGTATGGCAGCATGTATAATAGCACTGGAGAAGCAACTGAGAGCTTTATTTTACATCCTGATCCACAGACAGTGGACAGAGAAATTGGGCCTGGTACAGGCTTTTGAAACCAGTGACACTCTTCCTCCAACAAGGCCTTATCTCCTAATCTTGCTAATCTTTCAACAGTTCCACTCCCTGGTGACCACATTCAATGTGAGCCATTCTCATTCAAGCCACCACAACTTCCTTGCCTTTCTACGGTGCTAAGGAATGAACACAGGATTTTGTTCATATTGGGCAAATAATCTGCCACTGAGTTACATTCCCTGAAGCCTTCAATGAGATGTGGACACCCAGATCCAAGAAACAAAAATAATCAAAAAAAAAAAAAAAAAAAAAAGAGGGAGAAAGAGAGAGAGAGAGAGCTTCAGCAGGTACACACCTTTATTCCCAGCACTCAGGAGGCAGAGGCAGGCAGATCTCTGGTCTACAGATCCAGTTCCAGGACAGGTTTCAAAGCCACAGAGACCCTGTCTTGAAAAACAAAATAACCAAAAAGAGCTTCTCCAAGGAATACTAAAGTCAAAATGTCAAAAGTGCAAGATGAAGACAGAATTCTCAACTGTCCTACAGAAACGGACAATAAACTCTTTCCCAGATAAGTAGAAACAGAAAGAACTCGTCACCACCAACCCACCCTGTTAGAAATGCACCAGGGGAACAGGATGGGTACAGTGTGCATTGGGAGGCTAAGGATGAAAGACTATGAATTGGAGGTCAATTTGGGCTACATACATAGTAAGACCCTTCCTCAGCAAATAAAACAAAACAAAACAGGGCAGGGGCCGGTTGGAAAGATGGCTCAGCAAAGGGCTAGAGAAATGACTCAGCAGTTAAAAGCACTTGCTGTTCTTGCAGAGAACCTGGGTTCTGTTTCCAGCATCCACATAGTAGCTCACAATCAACCATAGTTCTAGTCAGGGTACGTGATATTCTCTTCTGACCTCTACAGGCACCAGGCAAGCATGTAGTGCACAGTAGTGCACAGATACACATGCAAGGGAAATGCTCAGACATATAAAATAAAATAAATATATCTAAAAAAATAAAATTACTTAAAAACGTCAATAGTCTCAATTCTCCAGTCAAAAGACAGACTACTTACATGAATTAAACAAAATCCAGCCTCACCCTCCCTGGGGAGCAGAAAGGGGATGGGATAGGGAGTCGGTGGGGGGCACAGGAGGGGGGGGAGGGAGAGGGCACTGGGACTGAGATGTAAAACAAGATTGCTTCTAATTTTAATTAAAAAGAAAAAAGAAACAAAATACATCCTTC